GTCATAATATGAACACATTAAAACGCTTCTGATGCTCTCCTATACAGTTGTTCCCACTTTCTGCATTGTATTGCGATTATTCAACTATTGCGAACTATTCAACATTCAACATTGAACCAGGGTGCTCGTAATTTTTCACAGGGCCGAAAGTGGGGACGACGCGACCATGGTCGCCATGGTGGGGTCTGGTACTTGATGGGGGTATGCTAGGCATGGTCAGCCAAGGCGCATGAGGGGAATAGTAGTGGGGCTCGAAATACGGGCGAAAAAGAGGGGAAGCGAGCCGCCTGTGAAAAATTACGAGCACACGGAGCACCTTGCATCCCTTGCATTGAACGTGTATCGTGTATTCATCATAAGAAATGTAAGTAAGAGATGAAACTGCAAAAGTTATGTGTGTATTTTATGCTAGGAAAATAAATTTTTATCAGTCTACAAGTGAAATTTGCTGCGTTTCACTTTCTTTATTTCTTCATTGTTACTTCGTTATACACATTTTCTGATTCATTAAATGCTATTATAATCAAAGCTACATAAATTTCTTCCGTTTCTCTTAACCTAACTTGATTAAATTCTGCTTATGACAGGACAAACAGGTATAACAAAAAGAGGTTTATTCAACAGTATTGCATTTGACATAATAATATCTGCTGAGTCATTTTTAACTTGAATCAGTTTCTGAAGCACAAAGAGATTGAAATATTTTAGATACTTTATTATATTTCCCTCTGTTCTAAATTAAATCAGATCCAAATAACTTTTTAAAACAGGCACATGAACACTGATGTTTTTTTATTTCTATTGATGTATTGTATTTAAAAACTTTAAATATATGGGAATTACAAAGAATGTTATTTTTAGGACATACCACATGTTTCTCATAAATATCAAGCCCCATCTTTCTTTGATGCTTTCAGTTTAAGAGAAACAGAAAAAATGGTTAGTTGCTAACCTATTTTCATTCAAAATTTTATCATAAATACATGTATCACATATGTATAACAGTACAAAGTATATATATTTAAAATCCAGGTTGGTCATTCCTTTCTTTAAACATTTTATTCTCATATTTTATAATATGATTCGTTTTTAATATCAGGTATAAAACTTTACTTAAGCTATCTCTTATTTATATTTTCTACTATATTTTATTATAATTTTTAACAGTTTGGCTTTAAGATTAGCATTTAATGAAATGAATTTACTGTTCGTATGTACAATTCGTATGTGTTCGTATTAAATAAAGAGAATATTGTTATTTCTTATCATGTTCACAGGCAAACCATAATAAGAAACGCCGTCTGGGCTGTGAGTCTGTTAAATTACTGAAATATTGTTCGCATAAAAAAAGAGATATGTTCGGTTGGGGTTGCACTATACATGGGGAACTAGGTTTGGGTGGCATAGAAGATGACAAAATTTTAATTCCACGTGAGCTTGATTTTAAAAACGCTTCAGAAATTCAGCACAGTAAGTCCACAAAATCTGAACTTTATATTATTTTTTACTTAGCTATTTATAATAAGAAATGAGTTCTCTACAGTTGCATGTGGTGATAATTATACAGTAATTATTACACAAGATGGTAAAGTATATTCGTGTGGAAACAATGACTATGGGCAACTTGGCCATAAAGAAGGAAGAAAAAAATTGGGTTAGTATGTTAAAATTCAACCTTAAGTTAGTCTTGTACTTTCGCATAAGCAATTAAATTTTATGTCTAGAGTTGATACCTGGATTAGATGCGTTTGTATTTAAAAAAGCAGCATGTGGAGCTTATCACACTTTAGCAATAAATGAATGGGGTCAGTTGTTCAGTTGGGGATTTAATGCAGAGGGTCAACTAGGTAAGAGTCATTGTTTTTATTCGTACAATATCAAAGTTCTCCTTATTATTCACGTGTATGCATTGCAGGTCTAAATTCTACAAGTTTTATGGAATGTTCACCACATATGGTAAAAACATTAGGTACAAATGTAGTAATTCAAATAGCCTGTGGTATGAAACATGCACTTGCTTTGACAAATAATGGAGAATTATTTAGCTGGGGCTGTAATAGTGAAGGGCAGCTTGGTTTAGGTGATGAAAGCCATCAATATGAAAGAAAGCCTACATTTATTAAGGCTTTAGCTGGTATTCCTATTGCCTTTATTGCCTGTGGAGGATACCATAGCATAGCAATATCAAAATCAGGTAAATTCGTTAGTAGCAAAATTTTTTTTTTTTGAGAAAGTGAATAATTAAATGAGTAAATATATTCTTGTATAGGAGCCGTGTTTGGGTGGGGAAAAAATGCATTTGGTCAATTAGGCTTAAATGACACTCAAGATAGAAACTTACCATGTCAGTTACAAACTCTACAAAATGCAAAAGTGTGTTATGCAGCATGTGGTGAAGAGTTTTCTGTGTTCTTAACATTAGTGAGTACTGTTTAATCATTAAGTTAGTGACTCTATTAGTAAATCATATAAAATTTGTGTGAAGGATGGTGGAGTATTCACTTGTGGTGGAGGAATGTATGGCCAATTAGGACATGGTAGTAATACAAACGAAATTTTGCCCCGGCAAGTAATGGAACTTATGGGTAGTACAGTTACGCAGGTAAGTCGTATAAAAGATTTGATGGGTAATGTTTATAATAAAAACATGCGAATGTTTTATTTTAAGATTTCGTGTGGTAGAAAGCATACCTTGGCACTAGTTCCCTCAGGAGGTAAAGTTTATGCATGGGGTTTGGGTGGTGCTGGACAATTAGGTAATCATTCCACTAGGAGCATAGCCACTCCACAAGTTGTACTTGGGCCATGGGTTGCGCCTAACAGTGCTTCAATGATGGATCTTGATAAGGATAATGATTCGTCTACAGTCTCCTACGTTGTTAAACATATTTTTTCTGGTGGAAATCACTGTTTTGCCACAGTTGTCAAACAAAGTGTAAGCATAATAATAATCCAATGGGTAACAATCCCAAATAGACACCTTAAAGTGACATTATGGACGTTTTTAGGATAATATACGGCCAGACGACTGTAGAATATTAGAAAGTTCTTCCGAAATATGTACGGTAACTGAAGAAAAATTAATGGCTTGCCAAGAAATTCCACCAAATTCTCCCGTCGATCATGAACTTATGACGTGAGTAGAAAAGTTAGTAGATAAGGCTGTCTCTAATATTTATACAATTACATGTCATACAGTAGATATTTCGTTTGCGAAATGCTTATGGGTAACAAAAATTTATATCCTGCTTCCGTCGCTTATGGATAACAAAAATTCATGTTCTTATAGATATTTGGAGACAGTATTTAGAAGTGCGGCTTGTATGACTGGATCATTTTTACTTAACAATGATGGTCGCTACAGGTGTACAAATAAGCATCATGGAATAGATCTTGATCAAGCGAGTAGATTGTTCGGAATTATTAGAGAAATGGATAACATTACAATTCAAGAACTGGTATATGAGAAAGATGAATTTTATCAAGTTTTTACAGTGAATTACAAAATCACAATGTATTTATTACTTTTTCAGATATTTACTGGCATATCAGACTATCTGATTCCTTCTTTTTCATATTTACCATCTACGATTTGTGCGGAACCTTTAAGACTCTATATAATATTACCATTGTATCATGGGTTTGCAAATCCTCTTAATTGCCATGTATTGCATAAACCATTCTGCAAAGCTGTTTTACAATTAAAATCAGAGGTTTTCGAAGTTCTGAAAAGCTGGTGGCTTATAGCACCGGCCCATTACTTCGAAAGATTAGTTAGAATTCATAAATCAGTTGTTCTACATTACGTAAAAACTAAGAAGGTAAGATTTTCAAATTGTTTACTTAATTAATAGAAAATAATAATGAAAATACATACGTAATACTGTATACTCCGAGTGTCTTTTTAGGATATACCGTGGGATGTGACGTTGGAACTTGTTTTAGATTTCTTACATTTACTTAATAAATTGAATAATGAAGCTGATGAAGGCAATAAAGTGCCTTATTCCACGTTTAATTTGCCAGAACTAGTGGAACTAACAGACATAAGAGTTGATTACATGATATGGATTACAACAGGAGAATCCTCAGTACGTATACAAAGTTTTTAAAAATGAGACTACACATTATACGTTAACGCTTCTGTTATATAATAAATTATTTTTCAGAAGGTATTCTGTAAGTATCCTTTCCTCTTTGATGCTCAGGCTAAAATTATATTGCTTGAAATCGACCAAGCGATGCAGGTAAAATAGAATTTGGTATAAAATGCGTTTTTATATTAAATTAATTTATTATTATAGATGCAGTTAGCAGTAGACCAGGCGGTAAATCAAGCAACAATGTTCTTTGATCCGTTCCCAGGATTCATTTCGCAAGAATTTGTGATGTTAGTTGTTTCACGAGAAAACATAGTTGCAGATACGTTGCGGGAATTATCACAATATAATTCTAGCGACTTGAAAAAGCCTCTTCGAGTAAGTATTAGGTCGTCCCAAGCCAGTTATATTATATGATGTATCTAATGTGACTGTTTCCAAAAAGGTGAAATTTTATGGCGAAGAAGCGGAAGACGTGGGTGGAGTTAAAAAAGAATTTTTTATGCTTCTATTAAGAGAAATTCTTGATCCGAAGTATGGCATGTTCAAACAATACGATGAAACTAGAGTTATTTGGTTTAGCGAAGATTCACTTGAGGATAAAAACATGTATTTTCTGATTGGAATACTTTGTGGACTTGTGATTTATAATTTTATTATTATTGACTTACCATTCCCATTAGCCCTATATAAGAAATTATTACATGAACGAGTTGCATTAACTGATATCAAGGACTTGTCACCAGTACTTGCGAAGTATGTCACAGATCCAGTAGTACCTCATATATTTTTGTGATTCTTTCTAATAGCATACAATGTTTTATAATTAATCTTGTTTTAGGAGTATACAAAATGTACTTGACTATGAGGATTCAGATTTCGAAGAAGTTTTTGGTTTAAATTTCGAGGTGGTCAGAGACGTATTCGGTGAAAAAAGAATATATGAACTTATACCAGGTGGTAGTAAAGTTCCTGTTACTTTGAAAAACAAGTGCGTACACATTGTCTACGGTGTTTCTTTCATGTAACTTTTACATCTCGAATTTAATCGAAATTATATTTGTTCATAGAAAGCAGTTCGTTGATTTATATGTAGATTACATATTAAATAAATCTGTAGAGCCTCACTTTCAAGAATTTTATAAAGGCTTTCATAAAGTTTGCGGTGGCCGCGTGTTAGAATTATTCCACAGTTGTGAACTTATGGCCGTAATTGTGGGAAATGAAGACTACGATTGGGAGGAGTTAGAAAAAAATACAGCGTACAAAGAAGGATACACGAAAAACGATCCGACCATAGTTCTATTTTGGCAAGTCTTTCGTGAACTGACATTAGAAGAAAAGAAAAAGTTTCTGCTATTTTTGACAGGAAGCGATAGAATACCTATAAAAGGCATGAAAGCGATTAAGGTGAGGAAGTTAAAACTATACGGTAGCCCATTAAGGCCTTTCATGTAACATTTAATACTGCTTGCTTTCAGATTACGATACAGCCGGTGAATGATGAACGCATGTTGCCCGTCGCTCATACGTGCTTTAATTTGCTTGATCTCCCCAAATATCAAACCCAAGAACGATTGCGGTACAAGTTACTACAGGCTATTCAACAGACACAAGGCTTTTCATTAGTATAATTTTGTTGTTTTAAATATACTCTTTATTATTTGATCTTCAATACGTGCATAATACATTATGGACCCTGAGAATCAAAATTTTCCAATTGCATTTAAAAAAAAGTGGTGTTTTCAGATTCAGGGTGTTTATACATATTTAATTACAGAGTACGATCCGGAGGATCTATTATTATTCTTACTCTGTTCTTCTATGCTTTATTTGATGTACATTATCAAGTTCAATATAAGATCTGTATATATGAAATTGTTGAACCACTAATACACATCGTGCAGTGGAATAGAACTCGGTTATACACAACGAGTGGACAAAACCTGTACACTGCAAACACTGTACAATACACGTCTTGTTCTGGTCCAATATTATTTAAACAGAATCTTTCTAAATTTAAGTTTCATTAACAATTTATTTTAAATAGAATAGTATGTAAAGTTATTATTGTACATCAAAATTCCAAACATAATTGAGGGAAAATTGTTGACAACTAGATCATACAGTAGGCCAATTAGCAGACCGCTCTTTTAAAAACTCCATATGCATATGTTCGATAAATTATTTTGGTATGTTAATTTTTTTAACGTATTATAGACGCTTATGAAATACGCTCGTATGAAAGTTTATTTAAATAAAA